GTTGAAACTATAAATTCCACACCCAGCGGTGCATTCAATTCCGAATAAATGGAACAACTCTACCAAATTTTTTCTAGCCTTCAAACATCTGGTCAGTCTTCTACCAAAGACTCTTCTAGTTCCCTAGCTCATAAAGGTAACTTTCTACAAGCCTTAAGCACGATAAAATATAAAACATCTTGGATTATTGATTCGGGTGCATCCGATCACATGACGGATTCATACCAACTTTTTTCATCATACTCAACTTGTGCTGGAGATGTTAAAGTGAAAATTGCAGATGGTTCACTCTCTTCAGTTGCGGGAAAAGGGAGTATTCGAATTTCTAAATCCATAACACTTGATTGTGTACTCCACGTCCCAAACTTGTCTTGTAACTTACTATCTATTAGCCAACTGACAAAAAATTCCAATTGCTCTGCTAATTTTTTCCCATCTCACTGTATATTTCAGGACCTTTCAACGGGGAAGACGATTGGCAGTGCTAAAGAGTATGGAGGACTGTACTACTTCGAGGAAGCTGATGTGAGTAAACTAGGTCAACTTAATAACTGTAACTCTGCATCTGCTTCTAGTGATAGTGAACTTTTGTTATGGCATAATAGATTGGGTCATCCTAGTTTTCCATACTTGAAACGTGTACTTTCCCCAACTTTGTTTAATAAGACCTCTATTGAGTTTCAATGTGAAAATTGCGAATTTGCAAAACATCAACGTACCTCTTTTCCTAAGTCTACCTACAAACCAACTACACCATTTACCATTATTCATAGTGATTTATGGGGACCTTCTCGCACCCCTAATCGCACCCACACTAAATGGTTCATCACGTTCATTGACGATCATACCCGAGTCTGTTGGGTGTACCTCCTAAAGGAAAAAAGTGATGTTCGTTCAGTCTTCATAAATTTTCACTCTATGATTCAAACCCAATTTCAAACAACACTTCAAATCTTGAGAACTGACAATGGCACTGAATACTTCAATACCACTTTACAAGACTACCTCACAAAAAATGGAATAGTACATCAAAGCTCTTGTGTCAACACTCCCCAACAAAATGGAATTGCGGAACGAAAAAATAGACATCTCCTCGAAGTCGCCCGTGCCTTAATGTTTACTGCAAATATGCCTAAAATGTTTTGGGGAGATGCAATTTTGACATCGGCATACCTCATCAACCGTATGCCTAGCCGTACTCTCTCCTTTGACTCACCTATACAACGATTCCATAAACACTTTCCAACTTCCCGTTTGAACTCAGATCTACCCCTAAAGGTATTTGGCAGTACTACATTTGTCCACGTCCACTCCCACCTTCGAAACAAACTTGAACCCCGTGCAATCAAATGTGTATTTGTTGGATATTCACCCACACAAAAAGGCTATAAATGTTTTGACCCTTCCACCAACAAAACCTTTGTCAGTCTCGATGTCACTTTCTTCGAAAACACTCCTTACTTCCAAAAACCTTCTCTTCAGGGGGAGAATCTCAGAAAAGAAGATCGGTTTTCTAACCAAGAATTCTTGGATGTTAATCTTTTTTCACCTGACCTAGTCACTCAACCTGCTACTATGCCACATACAGAAGAAAACTTGAATTCAGGGGGAGATGTGGGAAAACAAAACAACAAGGAGATTCTAGTTTACTCAAGGAAGCCAAAATCAAAGTATAAGGAAACCCATACACTTGAAGCACCAAAAGAGTCAGAACCGGTGGAAGGACCTGATGAGAACTCCGACAGAACCATATCTCCTGACAATGATATACCCATCGCTCTCAGAAAACAAACTCGTTCGTGTACCCTTCATCCTATCTCAAAGTTTACATCTTATAATAACCTCTCTGCAGGATTTAGTACTTTTACAGCTAATCTTGATAAAACAGAAATTCCAAGAAATATTCAGGAGGCCCTGGAATCACCAAAATGGAAGGAGGCAGTAATGGAGGAAATGAAGGCTCTGAAGAAAAATAAAACGTGGGAAGTTGTGAACTTACCAAATGGAAAGAAACCAGTGGGATGCAAATGGGTCTTCAATATAAAGTACAAGGCAGATGGGGAAATAGAACGATATAAAGCACGGCTAGTCGCCAAGGGGTATACACAAACATATGGCATCGACTACACAGAGACATTTGCACCAGTGGCGAAGCTAAATACAGTTCGGGTTCTCCTATCCTTAGCGGTTAACCTTGACTGGCCTCTCCAACAACTTGACATTAAAAATGCATTCTTGAATGGAGAATTGGAAGAAGAAGTCTACATGACAATACCACCTGGCTTTAACAGAAGTAATGGAGAAAATCTAGTATGCAAACTCAGGAAATCTCTATATGGTCTCAAACAATCACCTAGAGCATGGTTCGATAGATTTGCAAAGGTTTTGAAAACTCAAGGATACCAGCAAGGGCAGTCTGATCATACTATGTTCTTCCAACAATCTAGAGAGGGTGCAAAGACAATCTTAATTGTTTATGTTGATGATATAATACTAACAGGGGACAACATATTGGAGATGGAAAGATTAAAGAAATGCTTAGCCACGGAATTTGAAATAAAGGATCTGGGACAAATACGGTATTTTTTGGGGATGGAGATTGCAAGATCAAAGAAGGGCATTAGCGTCTCACAACGAAAATACATTCTTGACCTCTTGACTGAAACTGGCATGTTGGGATGCAAACCAAGTGATACACCTATTGAGGTAGGAAAAATAAAGGATGCAGGAAACCCAGTGGAAATGGATAGATACCAGAGGTTAGTTGGTAAACTAATCTATCTTTCGCATACTAGGCCTGACATTGCCTTCGCAGTCAGCATGGTAAGTCAACATATGCATTCACCCAAAGAAGCACACCTAGAAGCTGTGTATAAAATTCTCAGATATCTTAAAGGCACACCAGGAAAAGGGTTACTCTTCGAAAAAAATCAAAGGAAGAAAATAGAAGTATTCACTGATGCAGACTGGGCTGGATCAATTGAAGACAGAAAATCTACCACCGGCTATTGTACCTATGTGTGGGGAAACTTAGTAACTTGGAGAAGCAAGAAACAAAATGTAGTAGCAAGAAGCAGTGCTGAAGCGGAATTTAGAGCTGTTGCACAAGGGATATGTGAAGGACTATGGATAAAAAAACTCTTAGGAGAACTACGGGTTGACATAGAACATCCAATCAAACTCTATTGTGACAACAAAGCTGCTATCAACATTTCTCTCAATCCAGTGCAACATGACAGAACGAAACATGTAGAAGTAGACAGACACTTCATTAAAGAAAAGGTGGATGATGGAACCATTTGTATGACTTATGTCCCTACAAAGGAACAGACTGCAGATATCTTCACCAAAGGACTGCCTCGACAGGTCTTTGACGAACTCAACTGCAAGTTGAACATGATTGACATCTACTATTCAACTTGAGGGGGAGTGTAGGAAACCGTATATTAAAGCTTCCATAAATCAAAGATTATGTTTAGGCTTATTGGAAGGGAAATATTATTTCCATAGTTACCTTATTTTGTTTTTTTCCTTTCTTGTAATATCTCGTAAGTTATAAATAGGGGATGATAGGTCTTTGTAATTATTCGATTTATTATACAGAAAATCGTTTCCACAGTGAGAATTTAGCCCTTCATGTCAATAGTTACAAGGTTGAACTTTCGGCTACTTGCACTATGCTTGTTCCTCGTTCAGTATATATTTAAATTGTGTATAATACAGCTTTCCACCATGGCACCATCTATAAATTTTGTTGTTCAATAAAACGGTGTATAATACCAGATAGATAAAACATATGTTGACCATGTTCCACATGCATTCTCAGTTCAGCACATGCAAAACACTGTTCCATGTGCCTATTTGTTTCTATAAGCAGCCTCAGAGCAACTTAAGTTTATGGCCTCATCACTAGTTTTCTAAGTACAGTGATCAACTGTTCTGTATTAAATGTATGGTATGTTCTGCACCTAAATCTGCATGATTCTGAAGATAACAGCAAGGAAGATAATGACAAATGTATGGTCATTGGTCTGTACCAAAATCTGTAGCCTGGCACCTTGTTAACCGAAGGCTAAAAATAGTCAACAGTCCTCTTAGATTTTTAAAAGAAATTTGCTGAGGATGGTTTAGAGAGAAAATGAAAACTGGCCGACTTTCCGAATTATACATAGCATTCCACAATTTCTCACCTTTGTCGAAACTACCCTTATTAATGTGAGAGCCATAACTCTTGCTGTACTGCTTTTCCCTTTTCCAGGAGTCCGTTCCATTTCCCCATGTCCCTCTCTCATACCCTCATTTCTCTTTCTTTCATTTGAAACTGGAAGTGCATCCAGAACTGTTTCATCCTCTTTCTCATTTTCTTCCTTATTTTTTGAAACAACACTTGCAGTGTATTCATTCCTCTCTCTCTCTCTCACTATCAAGTTTTCTGTTGTGAGGGATATATCGGTTGCATGCCACAGACTATTAGAAAGCCAAGTTTGATTTCTGTTCTTATAATGATCTAAAATGAAGAAAAAAATTATGAGTCAACTTGGTGGGTCCGTTGACCATGGGGTACTCATCAGGCTCTTTAAACTTGTTATAGTTCCTCCATTGTTGCTTTTTGGTGTGCAGTTTCAATAAGAACTTGAACTTATGTAGTCCCTACCACATGCTGTTTACAAGTGGAGAATATGCTTGATTTTGGCTGTACATTAGCTTGTAAATTTTATTGAACATACACATTGCCATTCTTAATCTGGTATCAGGTTATATACAGAATCAAATCCATATTGTTTTTAGTTTTTCAGACATTTTTTATGCATATTCGAACAATATATAAGGATCTGTGATCAAATGAAAAACTGCATTCCATGACAAATTACAATCTATTTTCAAGAATTCTTCTCATATTGAATGTTGAAGGGTTGTTCTTTGGTAAAGTTAGTCCTGCATTATCGAGTGTCTATAGGAACACTCGAATGGAAGTACATCTTTCTTTCTTTCTTTCACAGGGATTATCCAAGTTCTCGAAGCCTGCTCGGTATCTCTTTATGGAAATTCAAAAAATTGACAGCAGCTATTATCCTGAGGTATGTAAAGCATCAACTTTTTTGTACTTCTTCCTTTTTTGAACTAAAATTATTTCTCTATTTAAATGAGGAAAAATGCGATGTGCAAAATTTTGAACACTGTTGCAGTACATATGAAACATAACCTGAGCGTAATTACATATTTTTACAGTGAGTGTCTATTTCTGAGTCGAACAGAAACCACATCATGAAATTCTAGCTGATGAAAATGTTGAAGATAATATTTAAATGATATACACGTAACCTTGTCTAAAAGTTTAAATTTTTAGATCAAGTGTTCTACATGGTAAGGTCTTGGATTCAAGTATCGCCTCCACCCATGTAAATATAATTATCTATGAGTTAACCTTTGATGGGAAAAGGTTGAATCCATCTTACATGTGAGGAGATGTGTTGAAGATAATATTTAAATGATATACACGAGGTCCTATCTAAAAGTTTTAAACTTTTAGATCAAGTGGTTATATACAAAATTCCCCTCAATATAAATAAATATCACAATAAGAAGCTGCCACTCATTTTTTCAGGAGTGAATTGGATTATAATACTGATGCTACGTATTAACCTTATATTTTTTTCTCTTAATTTCAATTAGTAGTAGTCATGATGAAAGTTAATATCTGTTGGTCTAATCCAATATTTAGAGATCAGTGTTGCTCTAATCCAATATTTACAGATCAGAATGCAATTATGTTCATAAAACTAAAATTTGTTCATGACTATTGGACAAAACAGTATTTTTGTGTTACTTAACTATTACTTGTCTACTTCACCCGTGGAAGCTATAATTCTTTGTTTATTCTTTCTTAGGATTTTCAGTTTCATGATTGTTCTAATTGAATGCTTTTGATTATTATGTCTGCAGACACTTCATCAGCTTTTTATTATTAATGCTGGATCTGCATTCAGAGTCCTTTGGAAAGCAATTCGGGCTTTTCTTGATCCTCGTACATTGGCAAAAATACGAGTAAAAAATATTTTCTACTTTTCTTTCTTCCCATTTCTTTCTCTTTAGATACTTTTTTTTGTAGGCTGTAGCCCTGCCCACTCTCTACCTCACTCTACAGTCCACCACTCCATGTCCTAGAATGGATGTTACTGAAGTGGATTTGATTAAATTTCCATTGGAAATATTACAGGTGCTGGGAACTGACTACAAAAGTAGCCTACTCGAAGTTATTGATCCAAGGTAACTACATTTTGTATGTCTGATGCATATATTTTTGGGGAAGAAATATAATTTTTTCTAATTGCATGCTGGCTACTTACACTTGTAGTACCCTTCCAATTTTCTTGGGCGGCAACTGCACTTGTGCTGAATATGGCTGTTGTCTGTTAAGTGACAAAGGACCTTGGAATGATCCTCAAATAAAACAAATGCTTCAGGTTTTAATTTATTGCCATCATAGTTCTTAGCACCACACATTTGAGAAAAGCTTTATATATCCATATCCTTTCGCATTGTATTCAGATTTATTTTTGTAATTGTTTACTTTAGGGGATGTTACAAACAGAAGACGAGAATGAAGGTGAATTGATGAATTCTCAGTCCTCACAAGATTCTAGTGATGGCGATCCTGTAAGCAAGTTATATGCTGAAAATTTCCAGATGAACAAAATGAAAAATGAAATGCATGGATCGCTCTAAAAAAATGTGTTCCAAGCATTGCTTCATGTTCATCAGCATTGCACATTGTTATGAGTTTTGAGCATTCATCGTCGAACACCACTTTTCATGTCCCACTTTTCCACTTTTCCCTACTCCATATTTAACTTATTCCAGTGAATTCATACTATTGAAGACTGGATGGTAAATGCAGGAAAATGTTCCAATTAAATCTGTATGGGATGTAGTTTCACTTAGAGACGAGGCTCTCAGGGGAAATAGTGAGACAAAATATAATGATCAGGTTCTGTTACATAAACTCCAAGCATTCGAACCTGTGCTTGAAGATGCGAAAGTAGTGAGTTGAGCTTTTGTTCATTATTCAATTCCGCTGACAATTTAAATGCAAAAGAAAAAAAAGGGGGTAAATCTTCGTTTCTTTTTTTCGTTCTTCAGAAAATCAGGATGTTGGAAGTTGCACTGGAGGATACCAAGTCGGTGAGTGTTTTCCAGACTCTTAATGCTTGTAAATGTCGATGTGAACTAATGCGTCGTTATCTTTTTCCCTTACAGGTCTTACAAGGACTTTCTCAACGTATAGAAGAGCTGAAGCGTTGAGATCAATGATCAAATACGAACTGCCTAATCAACAAAGTATCATAATGGTTATGATTTTAATTACAGAATAGCTAAGTTTATGAAATATATTCTCTTATATATTGAGAGTACATAAATTCTCTTGTAAGCATTCTCTCACCCTTTGTTATTAAGCTATGCAGAAAGATTTTTAAACCGAGGAAAGACACACACTGTTTCGACTGCTAATTATAGTTGTGAAAGAGAATCACAAACGGTCACTGAAGTTTAAATTGATTATAACTGAAGTATTTTTGTGCCTCAAACTTATGTTAAATATTGTTATATAATCAGTGATTCTGTTAGATGTATAAACTCTATACATGATGTTGGTCTATTAAACCTTTGCATCAAGTGATAATCATTCTGAAATTATAAATCTTCAAAATAAAATAAATGGTCACTCCATTTAACCCTAACCTTATTTTTTATTATTAATAAACAGTATGATGCAACCAAAAGTTAGGGATAGATAAGTCTCCTTGTTTAGTTTATGATTCCCCTCAATTTGTTTCCATTTAAGCTTTTCTGAGGCAATAGTCGTTCTTGTTTTGTGTTTTTTTTTAATTAAAGATTTATGAAAAGTTAGAACTCTTTCAATTTTCAATCTTCTTTCTATATTCTGGAGAATCAACATAATTAGGTTGACGTGTTGCCATTTATTTCAATTCTTGCATTGCACTAAGTAAGAAAGTCATGACAGAGGCCAACTAGAAGGAATCAATTACAACTAATAACTGTTAGATGCACTATGTTTTAACCTTGTAATCAATTACAATTACAAGGTTATTAGTCCATGGGAAGGTTTAACAATTACAACTCTATGGAATATATTAAGGAAAATGTTAAGTGTACGTCACCTCTTACATAAAGGTGTACATAATAAACACCCGACGCTTCCTCCAATGGAGAGGCACCGGGTGTCAATTATGGACACCCTTATGTAGAGGGTGATGTACTTGTAGCATCACCCATATATTAAACAGGCTAACAAAGTGACCAATTGTATAATATTTAACTTTGGTGGCAAAATGAGTAACAAAAATACTTCCAATTTGAAGTCTTACTCAATTTTAGTCGTGTGGTCCACATGGCATAGTATGATTGGGTGGATTTACAACATTGGACGTCGCGAAAGTCGCGCTCCGAGGAAAAGGATAAAAAAAGGAACAAAATACAAACTTTGAAATTGAAATAAAAAGCCTCCCTTCGATTTCTCCGTTTTGTGTACTCAGCTTACATTTCCCTCCCCCATTCAGATAATTACGGATCACCCCCAAATTTTTTCACCAAAAAATTCAATAACTAGTGCTCGAAGTAGATAAAACTGCATTTTTGTTTCGTTTCATTTCAATTCTGAATATGAGTACCGGAGACTCGGAGAGCTTCTCAGCGTTGAACCTGTCGAACTCAAATTCGCTCGTAGGTTCTTCTCCCCAAATCCCATTTTTAGTTTCTCCATTTTTATTTTTGTAAATTGGGTTTGTTGATTTTTCATATTTTTGATGTATGTTTGTATTTTTTTTTGGTGTAATTAGTTGAGCTGAAGAAGCAGATCTCACGTTCTCTCCAAGTATCGAATAAGACCGAAAATCATGTAGCTTTCAAGGTTTTTTTTGTGGTTTTGTATTCGTCAATCTATTTCTTTCTTTTTGTGACATATTCTCCGGTTGATTGAATTTCTATTTATTAGGTGAAGACAACGAATCCTAAGAAATATTGCGTACGACCAAACACTGGGATTGTTTTGCCTCGATCAACATGTGATATCATCGGTAGTTTATCTGATCATTTACATTTCAATTGAATTAGGGAAGTTTTTTATGGGAACTAGATTTTATTGGATTCTATTTCATATTTATGTAGTTTTAGAAAGAATATGTTGTTTATATTAAGCCCTTGTTGGGTTCAGATAAAAATCAGATTTTGTGATTGAAAAGTTGATAAAATTGTGGATCCCATAAAATGAGTTTTAGAAAAGAGACAAACAAGGGCTAAGTTATATTGAACACAGACCATGTTTAGTAAAAAGGTGAGGGCCAATTTGGCATGGTTTTTGGGAAATCAAAAGGAGCTCTTGAGACCTAAAAGATGCTTTTTAGGCCTTTATGGTTAATTTGTGTAAGTGTTTTTTCTATTTAGAAGAGCTTTTATAAGAAGCTGATCCAATGTGGTGAATTTTGTAACAAAGTCATTGATTTTGTTTGATGATATATTTATGATTTTGTTCTTCATTATGTTTTCTTCGTAGCATAAAACTCTGTGTCTTGTAGTAACGATGCAAGCACAGAAGGAAGCTCCTTCTGACTTGCAATGCAAGGACAAATTTTTGCTTCAGAGCGTAGTTGCAAGTCCTGGTACAACACCGAAAGACATTACTCCAGAAATGGTACTCTTTTGATCAACCTTTGATTTATTTTTGTCATCGTTTGTCCAGTCCAGATTACCAATTTTACCATTAGATCACCAGTGAAGTCCTGATTGACAAGCAACATGCTGAAACAATTGGATTAGCAATGACATCGCACATTATTTTTTTGAAGAATAAAACTTAGGTGGGACTTTTCTTCTGTTGCAGTTTACTAAGGAGGAAGGGCGTGTTGTTGAAGAGTGCAAGTTGAGAGTGCTTTATGTTTCCCCACCTTGACCCCCATCTCCAGTTGCAGAGGGATCAGATGTGGGATCTTCACCAAAGACGACTGCTATGGAGAATGGCAATGTTAATATCAGCGAGGTTGATTTCAAAGTTAAAGGACTTCTTTACTTTAAACAAGTCATCATGATTCTTGCATGCATGACATATTTACTTGCAAACTCTGGTCATTTGTAGCTCTGTTTTTAATTGGTGTCTACAGCTTAGTAGAATGTTTGTTGATAGTCATGAAAATTCACCGGAGGTAAATACCTTCTCTCCCCTACCTATACATTCTCAAATATACAAATTTAATTATCGCAATTTTTGGATTTGTTTGGGAAGCTTGTTATATATCCATTTTTATCTTTAATGCTTGCGTCATTTTGAAATACGAAATGGCTCCTAGCAGTAATATTTCTTCCATTGTTATAAATTATTTGCACTTCATAGTATAAAAAGTGACCTAGAAAAAGGTCGTGGATGGAAATTCAAGAGGTGAGAATTGAGAATTGGAGAAATCTTATAATAGGATCTGTTTATCCTTTAGATCCTTTTTTCTTTATGAAGAAACCTGTTTTTATAAACTAAAACATGCATTGGCATGGAGGCCAGAGCATTCACAACAATACTTCATGGTAGTGATTTGATCTTTGCACCATTTGGATTTATTTACTATGGTTTTAGTCGCTATTCAAAAGGTCGCACTAGTCAAACATACTTTTTATCTACACATTTCTTACAACTCACAATTTATTATTCACTTATTATCTGCACATTCTGTAGGATCTATTGCTTATAAACACTTAAAAGAACTATCAAATGAGCACTTCATATAGTTCAAAACTTGAACTTCTGATATATCACGATGAATAGACTACTAATTTAATTGAATGGAGGACTTTAGACTTCATTGTGTAAAATTTACCCACATAACTGTTCTTCTGACTACATCTATGGAAGCTTGTGTTCATATTTAAATTTATGTTGGCATGAAAAGGAACTAGAAAGTGGTTTGTGGTTATGGAAGACATTCTTGAAACCTTTATTTATGAACTCAAATTCAATTGAGAAAGAAACTAGATTCTAAGTAGTCTTGATGTATATAATAAAGTATTTTCTGAGCGTGTAAAATTCAACCATTTTTCATGATATATTTTTTGATAATAATGTCATATGACTTTGCGTAGATATCTAAAGCTATCAAACTTGGATTATGTTTTTTGAGCATAGAAAAACTGATTAGTATGGAACATCATGCTTCCTTTTTTTTTTGTTGTTTTGATTAAAACTTTTCTTAGTATGTAAATGACTTCTTTCTCAAATGAGATTTTTAGTTTATGCTAATTTGTGCTTGTTTCATGAAAATGCATAAATGAGATTTATGGTGTCCTCTTTGAATTGTGCAGACAATCTCAAATGCCATGAAAGTTCTGGTAGAAAAATTTTAAGATTCAATCACTTTAACTCTTGCCGTTGGCTTTATACATTAGGCAGCTTGCTTCTGACATCTACACACGCCTCACACACATTGCATACATAAATGTATGCACTATTCACATCCATAACTTCCCGCTTGAATATAAAACAAAAAGTGGGCTGCTAATACCTTTCCACCAACAATTACCCAAAATCATTGTTTGGCAGAGCATAAATTTTAATTTAAGCCTGTCAAACTTACTTTTTATCCGCACTCTGTAAGATCCACAACTTACTATCCATTTATTATCCACACATTCCGTAGGATTCACAAGTTATAAGCACTATCAAGTATCAAACAAGCACTAAATAGATGGAGAAAGTGGGGTAAAGAATTCAGCGGCAATAGCATGGCACTAGACTCCCAGCAGAAAGATGAAATCCTGTCGTTGCTTCCAGTATCTGGTTAATCGGCGCCACACTTGCATTCGTCTCCACACTTCTTCCATTTCCACTCCCCTTCTCTAGTACTTCACTGACACAGTTGCACTTGCATCTTTCACTTGTCTTTGTTAAATTTTCAGAAGTTCAGTGTTTGCATTTGTTCTTACAATTTCACCAGGTCTGGATTTTTATCAGTTTGAATATGTTTGCTATCCACCTATGTGAATTTGTATTCTAATTCTCAGGTACGATCACTTATTTCCAAATTAACTGAAGAAAAAGCTGCTGCAATTCTACAGGGTAGCAAACTTTGTCAAGAATTGGTGAGGATACATATTTTCGAAATTCTCTTGCGTAATCTAAAGTTAATTTTCTCACTGATTTTCTATGTATGATGTATTTTCTGTTTATCCTTCCTGTCTTGCTGTTAGTTTCTTTCTTGATTTGCCAGTCTGGTATCTTAAATCTACCTAATGCTGCGTTTATTATTAAGGCCCTGTTTGGTCCACATTATTTTTTTCATTCTCATTCTTCTAATCATTTTCAACCACATATTTTTCAATAAAATAATATTTAATGTTTGGTTCACATTATTTTTTTCATTCTCATTCTTCTACTCATTTTCAACCACACGTCCTTTAATAAAATAATATTTCAAATCACATCAATAATTTTTCCTTCTTTTTCAATCACATATTCCACATCACATCAACAATAAAAATACATTCTTACCTTCAAAATGTGCACCAAACGGGGGCTAATTATTAGAAACATGCTACATGTGCATTATTTTTTACATTAACTTTGACATCCTTCCACATGGCACCCATCATAGCTTTTTGATTTTCCCTACACCCTTTCACTTCACTGAATAGATTTTGACACAGAAAAAATGTCATCCATAATGTAAACAATAATGTGCATCTAGAAGTATTCTAATTATTGTTGTACAGACATATGAAGCTGAGAGATATATCTCTAGGTTCATATCAAAAGTGTCCATATGCCACAGATTTAAGCTATGCACCGACTATTATCTGGTCTAATTGAAGATTATATTTCCTTTCTCATCACCAAAAATATGAACCCAAAAGCATCTCCAGGAGCTCTTTACTTTTTAGAAAACATGTTGTGCATAATAGAGAGCATGTTTAAATTTAGAGAGTAAAATATTTTACACACTCCAACATACTCTTTATTTTTTAGCTCTTCAATTTAGTTTTTCTAATAACTATTTATTACTTTGCCCGCATTTCTAATTAACTTACATTTTGGCTCTGTGTAAGTGATTAAGCCCCTATTTGAACCCCATTTTTTAAAATTCATTTTCAACCACATATTTTTCTAATAAAATAAATTTACATGTAAACTCAAAATGTTTTCCAATTTTTTAACCTCACATTCTTCAAAAAATCACTATTACAAAATCTATTGTCCCCAACAAACCCTAAGATGGATGTGATGTGATCAAAGCACCTTCATCTCCATTTACTTTTTCTCATTGAATTGTTATATTCTTCAATAATTTGATAAATCATTTAGCCATTTTTTCTTCTTCGATATGCTCTCTGAGGTTCCATATGATTTATTACCATTCCTCTATTCTATCATCGATGCAAAAGCTGAAAGCCATAAATTTTTATTATGAGTCGTGTCTGGCAGTTGCTTAATTCTTGCATAGTTACTGTTGAGGCGTGATAGCAACAAAAGTGGAGGTGGAGTCTTCATCATGTTCGTTATCATCATTGGCTTGCTGGGCGCGGTTTTAGGGTACCTCATGAAAAGGAGATAATCATTCATCTGAATATTTTGTCTCTCTCTCCACACCAATTGAAATATAGGGACGGAAAATGTCACCAAGGTGTCAATTTTGTATTAGCTATAACTTTGTAAGAAATTTTATGCTTAGGTGGATTAAACATGCTGTTTTTCAAATCATTATTGACTTGAGCCTAGTACGAGAGTCTCGTACTTGACCTTGACTGAACACGAGGTTGAGACTTTTCTATGTTTTTAGCTTTTCTCAACTAAGATCGTGCATAATTGTTACTTACCATTAGTTGAGTTTAATTATTGATGTTACTATACTAGGAATGAGTAACAAATGTATTAAGCGAAGAATTTATAATAAATAGAACTTGTGAATCCGTTGAAATGTGTGGTTAAAAATGCAACAAGAGCACATTTGAAATATAAACAAATCATGGAGGACAATCCTATTCTAATAAAAGAGGAAGAAGTAATCATATTCTGAATAAGAAAGAATAAAGAAAAGAGAATTGACCCAATCGGATTGTACTACATAATAATGTAGTTTTCATATAAAAAGTACAATTTAATATTGTGATAAATGACGAAGAACTAAAATGAAAACAAAAAAGAAGCCAAATTCTACACTACTTAACATAATGTTGACTATTTGCGGCGGGAATTTGCACAGCTGATGGCTTAAAATGTTCTCAGCATTACGGCAGTGCTCACTTTTTTCAGTTTTGCTTACTGGCCGCATTCCTTTAACATGAAGCAGGCTCGATTTATTAGTGTACAAGACCTTTCTATTAGACGCGGAAGTCTTGAACATGACTTTTCTAGATTCAATATCAAACACGAATATCTGATGATCATGTTTGGCATGATACATCCATACTCGATTGCCTTGCACCGAATACGGAGCTATATTTTCGCTCGACATACTTGGATAATCTTTCATAAATGTCAAGGGTACGTTGATTTTGCTATCAGCCCATTTGTGAAGCTTGTAATTCTCCAAAACCCAAATATTCAAATGCTTTTGTTCTACTCGGGCAAGAGATAGCTTCCCTTCGCAGTCGACCAACCAGATATTTCTCCATTCTGAGAAGAAATCTTGTGGTACCTTAATAGTGTTTGTAATACGGTCATTTTCCAAATCAAGACAATCTATATCGTAATCACCCATTAATCCGAGCTTGATGCTATAGAACACCGTCCCTAAAACTTTGGTGGTTGGCCAAACAATTCTATGATTGCACGAGGAAGGGGAATCTAATCGTTTCCATGTAAGACAATTACCAACCCTAAAAACAGTATAAACTAGTACTTTTCTGTTTCCTTCATCCTTGGAATAATGAATATAAACCACCTTTAAATCATTAGTTGTCGGGATGTAACACATGTTTGTATAAATACCTGATTGGTCACGAGGACGAGGCAAATCAAGAATTTGTTTGGTAGCCGGATTCCTTAATCGGTATGCTTTGGTCGAATTCTTTCTCTCCAATACGAGTCCTTGCCGATATCTAACGAAAGTAAATTCTGTATCATTGCTACTTCGGTATTCGACAGTACACGGAGCCCGGTACATATGCATGTCGATGAACTTAGGATCTTGAATTATGGAAAACCAGGTTTTGCAGACGCATTTGAATCTTAATAATGATTTAACTGGTAACCTACTCAGGATCTCAATGGTTATTTCTTCGGGGAGAAACAGGTGTGTCATCACCATCTTCTCTCTAAAATCTAAAATTAAAAAAATAGAATTAACAATTTATTCATATTAGATATCGACATCAAATTCAAACTATTAACAATTCTTTTCTGTTGGTCTTGTTCTTATCTTATGAGTACATAAAGATAGACAAAAATTGTAACAATATAATTAAAAAGAACAAGTATATATGGAGTTGATGAACGTACCTTTGAAGAAATTCACTGCTTTCTAAATAAAAAATAAGTAATCATAGAAGCAATGAGTTAAACCTTTTTCGTTAATAACTTGACGTGTATATATATATATATATAACAAATCCTGTAAGCAAGAATAAAAACACAAATCAATTAGGATTCTATCAATACAGTTGAAACAAGATTCTACGTTCAAAGAGGACTCTATCAGAAGGGAAGTCTTACAATTATAAATAACAAATAGATAAAACTTATATCCTATAAAATACTTAATATTATATTATATTAATCTTTATTTACCAATAAAATACTTAAAATTGGTTACAAGCAATAAAATTAATATCTAAATAAAAACTATAAATTAATATTAATCATTATAAACTGAATATTTTCAAACAATTTTAGAGGTACGAGATTCGATATTTTCAGAAAAAAACCAGTTTTTATTAATTTTTATTAAATTGAAAATACTCAACATGTCGTGTCTTCAAAATACTAGTTTTAGACTCTATAGTGAACAACGACAACTAATTATATTAGTGAGCAAAGGCACATGAGGATGCGAAGTATGGAGGTTCCGCAAGACATAGAACTACTTTCTTTGGATTAAACTACTTGTACACACAAAATGTACATCCCCATAGACACTCCATTATGTGTTAAAAATCTGACAGTTGATTGGAAAATGTATTGTCAAGATTAATGTATCAAAATCTGTCAACTCACAGGAGTACAAATCAATGTATTAACATTTATGTACATGTAGTATAGTCCAGTTTCCTTTTACTCTTTAGCTCTTAAAAATCTTGACTGGTACACATTTCACTTTTATTAACTAGATGTTTGATCGAGTTAAACTTAATTGCAACTTTAATCGAATAACAAACAAATTTTGTGATTTTTCTATATTAATCCCTAAATTATCAATTAAACTAGTGAAAGTAAGTAAATGTATTTTTCAAATATGTGAGAAACATTGCTAAAATGTCGAATCCCCCTTATTATTCCATTTTTAGTGTACCAATTAAAGTGACAATTTAAAATCATTCATGTTAGTCAATGTTCCTAATTTAAGCAAAATTATCTTTTGATGGCGGCCAAATTTATTCTCCTCATGTGACCCTTCTATCTCTCGATAAAAGATGCAAACCATATAAAACATAGATATATATCTATATCACCTATCGAACCTTACAATGTTTATTATATTGTGCTTAAACTTTATTATCTCACCCGATAATAATAAAATTCACTAACAATTCAATTAGTGATTAAGCAATTGAAAAGAACGATGAAAACGACAATAAACATCTACAAATCAAATCAAATTAAAGCCAAAATAATTAATTAAAAACTAAAAATATCATAATAAGGGTTCATCTCATCCCAACAATGTATAAAATTAGCCAACATATCGAAATTACAAGAAATCATATTTAACTGAAAAGACATAACCCGAATTTTTGATAAATTGAGAAGATGAAGATGAATTTTGAATATTTTCAATGGTTTCTTGATGAATCTCTACTTGTATCTTCTCTTCTTCGGCCAAAAATCAAAATTTGAATCTTCGCTCAATTGAATTCTTGTAAATCTCCCACAATTATCTCATAAATATTATGAATTTTCCTCATTTGATGATAATAATTGCCGTTAGCTATTTTTAAGAGTGGAAAATTAGTTAAAAATCACGTCCAAAATTGGTTTCCAAAAGACTTCCAATCGAATAAGAAAAGTTGCATTCGCGAGCGGATTTTTTCTCTGTACAACTGTCAATATTTTGGCCATAAATTTTTCTCACGATATCCGATTGAGGCGATTTGAATTGCGTTGAAAATCTAACTCAAAGGGATAAAAAATTTCTAGAAATAGAAGTTTTACAATTCAGACGTTTAGTATGCCAAAAATAAGTCTCAATCATCGACTAAAAATCTGGAACATAACTCATGCAATTGGAAATTGATTTTGATAATATTTTGATCATATTCAATTCTTTTTTGAGTTAGAATTCCATCCAATTGTAGGGATGGCAAAAAAACTCGCCGACTCGGGTGGTTCGGAAAAAGCTTGAGCTGGGCCCAGCCTTATTTTTTTGGCCGGGCCCAAAAAAGCTCGAACCTTTTTTATTTAATTTATAGTACGTGTAAACCGTATAAATTTTAAATTTTTTAAGCAAAAATGTAGATTTGACATTAAAAAAATCACAAAAGGCTCGATCTCGGCTCGGCTCGGCTCGGGCCCAAAAAAGCTCAAGCACCTCATTTTTTTTTGCCGAGCTTTGCTCGACTCAGGCCCAAAAAAGCTGGAGTCGAGCCCGGGTTTTTTTTTTCAACTCAACTTGACTCGTTGACATAGCTATCCAATTGTCTCCTAACAATTTTCAAAATATCGTTTGTGGTCCGAATCAACTATTGAATATTTTCAATTTGGTCCTCAAACTTTGGACTTTGCTCTTTTTCCTTGATTTTTCTTTTATTTCTTCCAATTCCTTGTTCAACAATTGAGTTTTACCAATATAACATAAAATTCAACAATTTATGATATATTTTGTCAAAAAAATTACCAAATATCGATATTTTATGCCCCAAATAAGTGTATAAAATACACTTATCAAATACCCTCAAATTTAAACATTTGTTTGTCCTCAAACAAAATTATAACCTAAATAAAAACAAACAAACATGCAAGCATGCAAAAATATTTGGTTAGATAATCTAGCTTTTTACCTCAGTATTTGAAAGTACAATACTAAATCTACAAACTATTTAAAAGTCACAATATCAAACCAATATTTACAAGTTACTTCAATTCTCAACCCTTTATGGTCAAATATATCCTTCACATCTCGAATAATTCACACACCATCAAATTTATTATTTTTACTCTTTTTTCAGTTTGCAATCTAATGTTGAATTTTTCATTTCTATCATCACCATTTCTAATTCAGGTTGACTCTAATAGTTGCAAGTCAACACATCAATAAACAACGATTTTTCAATTCTTTGACTGCTTCGAAAGTCTTCTAAAAAATCTAATAATTCTTCATCAAAAGTCAAGCCTTCTCAAATAAGTGTTTGAGACTTAACCGGACATTTGGTACGTCTTCTGTTTCATACACCTATTTTCTTCTTTCAAAATTTCATTTTTTTGCACTCTCTCCTTTAAGTTTTTTATATGATCTATGTAACGAGATTTTGGCCAATGACTTCCAAATCAGAAGATTTTAGGACATCATGTTGTAAATACCCTCGCAGACTTAATAACTCAAATCATAACGATTACGAAGAGATGTCTTTTATATATTTTTCTATCCTGATTAGTGCAATACCCCTAATTGAACACATATCTAATCAAATCGACTTCTACGTTAAGACTTTTGCCTAATTTTATCCTATTAATCTAAGACAATCCACACATAAGTTTTCATACATGGAATTCCAGTTTACATCCGTATATTCATACAACTGTAAAATCACCCCTAAACTATGATAAATTTGGTCTAAGGATCATTAATTTAGGATAGTTTTGGGTATAGTATATATGTTCAATCTATCAACATATCCAACATATGAATCAAATTATTATATCATGATGTATAACTCAATTTTAGTGCACATATAATATCAAGTTCTAAAAGACTAGGCATCAATCGATTTAAGCATGTAACATATTCACAGTTCATAAATCAACACCAAATCTCAAATTAATCAGCATTGCCGGGCAATATATTTGAATTTTTTCAAAATTTTCGATTTTTTTATATTTAGTGAAAATCAAACACACAGACACTAAAAAACACACCAAAAGTAAAAATTCAAAAAAAAAATTCAATCATAAACTAAAAATCGATATTTTCATTAATGTCATAAAGCATAAGTAAGAATATAAGGAGATGGGGAATAAAAGAAAGAATGTACTCCTTGAATTTTTCTGTTGAATATGCGATGAGCTATTTGTCAATTTAACACAACTCATATTTTTTTGAACTTTTTCCAATGTCAATATTCATGGTATCTATATCCTCTTTTTGCCCTCCAAACCTTGAGCTCTCCATTCTCTTTTCGAGTAAGGCTCCCTAGAAGTTTAGACTTTGTCTCATTCGATCCTTGTTGAATTTCTTTAGCAACATATTTTGCTTTCTCCAGGACTAATGGTTGATTAGGTGGATTATGTAATTTAAAGATCTCATGTGTGTCCTCCACCTTCACAGTCAGCTCATCCTTCTCCAATTCAATCAAGATTCGACTTCTTGCTATAAACGGTCGACTTAAGATTATTGGCATATCTTGGTCGTCTTGAGGTCAATCAGAAAGAAGTCCGCATGAAATATTAGCTTTTCAACCTTGATGAACACATCCTCAACCTTGCTCCATGGGTATCTGATGCTCCTATCTGTCAACTGCAGCGTCATATTCGATCATTTGACTTCCCTAACTCGTAGTTTCCCAAAGACATTAAATTTACACTTGCACATATATCACATAAAGTATTAAAAAGAAATTTTTTGCCTAGTGAAACACGTGAAATGAAACTTCCTGGTACCTTGAGATTTGGTGGCATTTATTTTGCAGCTTTGAACTCTCTCATCGGTCAATGCCACTTCTTCCCATCTGTAAGCTTTCTTTTCTTGTATATCATGTCCTTTAGGAACTTTGCATACATCGTAATCTATCAGATTGCATCGATGGATGGGATTTTAATGTGGAGCTTTTTCAACATATCCAGGAACTTCTCAAATTGATCATCAAGCTTTCTCTTTTGCATTCTTTGTGGAAGAGGTAGTGGTGGCGCAAATTCTTTAGGAGAAGCGGTTTCCTTAAC